ACCTTCTGATTACCTTGTGCAGGTGTGATGACATTGCATGTCTCATGAAGGTGGGTGTTAGAAAATGAACAATTTTTTTTTTTTTTTTTTTTTTTTCTGTTGAATAGTATCTTCAATGACCATGGAAAGCTTCACAGCTGTTCAGAGTAAAGGTTTCTGTTTGGCTGGGCTGGGAGCCTTCATATGCAACTGTCCACATTTTGATGAGGGCAGTATTTTTGGTATCATCTTGCCCATGATCCAACTTGCTGAGAGAGAGAAGGGAGTCTGAGTCTTCACAGTTGCCTAGCAGGCTTAACAGTAGGATGGGCAGATGAGAAGAAAGGATAGTGAGGAACAATTTAAAACAAGTCAAAACACTTGTTACTTTTTTATCCCATTTTTTTTTAAACATCTGTTTTTGACCTGAAAGTACAGGAGTGGAGAAGTATGTAACGTTAATACTGAGTTTATGCGTGACTTGTCTACTCCTTTCTTTTTCTCTTCCCTTTCCACAACTTCTCTAAATGTTTCATCTCCCTTTCACAGTGGTAGTCGCTCTTCCAAAACCTTCAAACCAAAGAAGAATATTCCAGAGGGGTCTCACCAGTACGAGCTGCTAAAACATGCTGAAGCCACGCTTGGAAGTGGTAACCTCCGGATGGCTGTCATGCTTCCAGAGGGTGAAGACTTAAATGAATGGGTTGCAGTTAACAGTAAGTGCTAACCTTTTTTTCTTTTTGGTAAGGGGGTGTTGAATGTGAGCTGACACTTGTGGGAGGACAACTGTGTGCTCCTTTCTAGCAGGGCAGGCTCTGATCCTGCACACACCACTCTGCTGTGACTGGGAGAGGTGAATGTAGTATTGCTTTGAGCTGACAGATGCAGAGCAAGTCACTGAGACAAAAGCTCCTTAATCTTGTGCCAAAAAAATGTTCCTGTTAACAAACTAATGCTTATTCTTAGTGGTTCAAGTCTGAGTGCTTGATCACAAACAAGAGCAATGACATTTCTCCTTCAGCACTTTTTAGAAGGTAGCCTGTCAGTGCCATCTTAATATGTTTAACCTAGCTCTTTCTCAGCTTGAGTTGTTACTTAGTAGTGTAGTCAAGCATGCACATCCTGAGTGTAAACCCCTCATTTAATTAAGTGTGAGGGCAAGGTCTAAACCATGTTAAAGACTGTGGTCCCAAGTATTGCCTGCAGCAAACACAGAGATCCATCTTTGCAGTTTTCCCAAATTAGTTACTTTGTTTTGTTTCTCTCAAGTCTTGAGCCTTTGCTCTGGTAAGTCTCTGATGTCATTATTTTCGCTTCCTCTAAAGCTCTTTGAGCCAGCTCTTTCTTCTCACCGTAGGTCAGGCCAAACAATGATGCCCAAATTAGTGGTTTCTGATTGCTTGACCATGTTTCCTCCTTCTTCCTCTCCTGCTGCATGAATTTTCTGCTCTTAAAGAATGTATTAACCCAAGTCCTGCCATGCTCTGTAGCTCCTGCAGAGTTTTGTGCTTTGGGCACAAGCTTTGTGCCCCATCCAGGTATTTCCTCATCCTTTATGTCTTGGCATGGCATGTTTCCATGTTGCATGGTATTGATCATGCACTGCAGTATCAATTATGCTTAAGATAAATGTCTTCTAATTGCTTATGTGTTTCAGTCTGTTTCTTCTTGCTCTTTGACATGTTGGGGAGGTGAAACTGTCCTGTTGACTTCAACTTTCTGGTTCTTAATTAGCCACTCGGTACTCTGGTATAAGACTTGGAACTGCATCCAGGGAATGTTGAAATTGCTAACAGCATTCTTTAAAAAAGTTTATTCATACTGTATTGCAAAACTGTCTGGACAAAAAGCCAGCCCATTTTTATGAGTAAGCATTACTACTAAAGATGCTTCATGTGTTACTGGCATCCTTCCCTTTTGGTGGTTGCTCCACTCCATGTGGTTGCTCCACTCCTTTCCTGTGTGGCAGTGGTGTTTTTCCCCTCCCAAATGACTTAACTTCTAAATTAGCTGGGTGGCAAAAGGCAGAAAAGCACTTGACAAAAGAGTGAGAGCTGCCTTTTGGTGACAGCTGCCTTCTGTAGTGAAATGGTCCTCTTTCATGTCTTCTGCAGCAAAGCAGGTTCTCATGTTTGACATTTTTTGGCTAGAAGTGATTAAATGAATAAGTGCTACCTGCATTTACAGCATCCATCTATCACACCTAGTACCAGTTACTGGTAGCTGTGAACTGCTTCTGTTGATGGAGATATCTGATGAAGGAATAAAATGTGTCACTTAATGTCACTGGTTTTGCCCTTCACAGTAGCAAGACCACAGGAATAAATGTGCTCTGCTCTTCTGTTTCTTGCTCACCTGTTAGCCTTACTGATGTCTTATGGTAATGAGCAGATGAACATATATATTTTCCAAATATGTTTTCAAAATTAAAAAGGTGAGAAGTGTATGTCTTGAGTTGCATTTGAAGTCTCCTTGATTTGAAAATACTAAAAATTAATTGTAGAAGTACATCTTGCCCCAGTCTTTGTTGTGGAACACCAGACAATGTCCACTTCTCGACATTGAAACTCAAGAACAAGTAAAAAGAGGAAATGAAAATACAGGGAGACGCTACACAGCTGTACACGTGTTGGAAAGGAGGTTCTTGCATTTTTCTTTTGTCCCACACACTGCTGGTTTGGGGAGTGGATGGTGTGTCTCGTGGCCTTTTGAGACTCGGAGTGAGGGATTCACAATAACCAGCCATCTTGTTGCAGTCTGTGTGGGCTTTCTGAGCACACTTGTCTTGAAGCAAACATTGGGCTGTGGTTTCTACTGGGAGCAGGGAATGGAAACTTAATTAACAGTTCTTGTGTACACTTAAGAAACAAGGCCTGTATATAATGACTTCTTGCTGCTTTTGGTGTTAACTGCCTCCTCTCCCTGCCCAAACAAGCTTTAGGAGTCCTTTTTTATCAACCTTTCCCAGTGTTATTTTGCAGTGCCGAGCCAGGGGTGCAGAAAAACGTTGCTGGAAGTGAGCTGCACTAGGTGTGTGCCACACCAGTTGTTACTTGCTTTATTTACTTATTTATTTTCCTTTTTAATTTTTTTTAATACCCCAGGAAGTTGCTTGACACAGTTGTAGCTCCTCTCTTGCATCTACTGTTCATGGTAACTGTTAACTTGCTGGTATGATGTTTGTGTAATCTTTGTGTGTTCTCTGGAAAAATCAGTGAGGGGAGCTGCAGTGTTCAACCCTCCCTTTCCTTCAGCCATCAGTTGCTTTCACAACAAGTTTTATCTGCTGGTGCTTCCATTTCAGACATCAATCTCCATTTCACAACTGCAAAACTTTCTCTCCAGGACCCTCTTCAGCAGCATGTCTTTTACAGCTGGGGCTGTAGGAAGCTGCTGTTGCTGCTACTCTGCAGAGTGTTAATTGTTAGCTTCAATGTTTTACAGCTGTGGACTTCTTCAACCAGATCAACATGCTTTATGGAACCATTACAGACTTCTGTACAGAGGAGAGCTGCCCTGTGATGTCTGCTGGCCCAAAGTAAGATTATTGTTCGCTCATGGTTGTGAACGTGCACTTTTTGTGATGATTTTGCATTTGAAAGCTTGGGGCTAGCTCAGTTGAGTGCTAAAGATCAGGTGACTTCTGTGGGTAGAAAGGATGTCTTCTCTTGTTATCTGTGGAGGGAAAAAAAAATTAACCTTTATTAAAGGAGCAGGGAATAGAGAGATGATTTTTTGGAGGTGTTTTTTTGAAGGTTTTTTGGTTGTTGATTTTTTTTTTTCTTTAGCTAAGAAGTAAACTGATTATCAAAGCTATTTTTCCTTTTCCCCCCCTGAAACATTAATGAGGGCTTCTTAAATTAAGATTTTTTTTTTTTACATGCAAGCATTCAGTTGGGGCATACCAAAACCCTTTATTTTAGGCACTTCAATTAGGTATTAATAGAATTAAACTTGGCTGCAGTTCTGAGTAGTCTGGGTAGGAACTCCCAACACTGTTGTTTAGTGAAGTTTTAGCTTCTTGGATTCTTGCTGATGCTTTTCTACAGACATCCAATGGTTATGGTTTTTCTTCCTCTCTAGCTACTTGTGTCTTCCAGAGAGGAAAGTACTTGCATTTCTGAGTGAGTGACGAGGGAGGGCGCTGCTTCCATTGAAATGACTGTAAAATCTTAAAGAAACGATTAAGAAAAGCAATCCTCTCCTGCTTGATGATGACTGGGCTGTAGGGAGCGTGGTGGAGAGCTGAGGTCATGCAGAAGGGCACAGCTGCGAGGGCAGGAGTTCTGTGGAGCAGAAGCAGCCAGATGGATCAAGAAAAGCTTTGGGCCTACATTCTTGAACTAAAAATGGACACTGCTGAATGCCAAAGCCAGTGTGGGCAGGCAGGCCTGCTGCTGCAGAGTGAGGAAGGGTGAGAATAGAAAAATAAAGAAATAGATGTTTGCCATTGTGCAAAAGAACTTTGGGGGTAAGGTTGTGCAGCAACGCAGCTCATAGTCTGCTTTGTGCTTTAACATGCAGAACAGGCCCATGTTTCTTCAATAAGAGTATGAAAATACTTATTTGCTTTAGTTTTTGTCTGCTGGAAGCAGTTATTTGGGAGGTGGAGGTTAATCAGGTTAAGCTGTCTGGTTGCTGGACTAAAGTATTTATTTCTCTCCAAAGAGACTGATACACATTGACAGAAATACATGTCACAGAGTTAGGAAGCAGGGTAGAAAAGAGATGCTAGAGGCCAGAAGATGCTTTCTGAATGTGGTAATCTTGCAGGATTTGTAGAGCATTCCCCAAACTCTGCATCTGGTACCTGTGCTTCAGGATGGGTTTTGTGAAAGGATCAGAGATGTGTGTGCAAGTGAGTGGCTGAGGCCAGGCAGGACCTCTGAGGCCAGCAGAGCATGTACAATATTTTCTAGTTTGAAAGAAGGGGCTCTCTTCCACTTAAAAGGTGGTCCGAGAATTTTTGTTCAGGGAAGTGCTGCTGGAAAATCTGTCAGCATGAAAGCAGTGATATTTATGGATTGATTTTTTATTTTTTTTTCTGTTTCTTATCTGTTTCCTGTTCTCTTCTGGCTCAAGGTACGTTACTTGAAGAGGCCTTGAGTCTCTGATGCTCAATAGTGCTTCTAGGCTTCGGGTTGCTGTCTGCTCCCGTCCATGGCTGAGCTGCCACCAGTATTGCATCCTCATCTCATTCAGACAAGAGTAGGAGTTAGCTGAAACAACTGAAATGAGGCCATTTGGAACAGGTTAGCCAGCCATAGCTTGACAGCTGGAGAGAACCAAAAGCAGCAAGTTCTCTGTGGCTCCTAAGTCTGATTTTTTTATTTTATTTTTGTGTGTGTTCCCACTAGGAAAATGTTTGTGGTCAAAGTATTAAAAAAGGGTTGGAAGGTGCAGGTGCATATACAGGTTAGAACTTCTTGTGGTTCAGTCATAATTTTCACAGCACCACTGGCAAACTGGTAGCAGTCTATAGAAAAATTAAAGCAGATAATCTGAAGTGACAGGGCAACCAGAGCAGGACTGGTGTTCTGGCTTGAAAAGCCCTTTAAAGAAAATTGAAAAAAAAGACCCTTGCCAACCAACTGGTCACCTAAGTTCGGGTCTGTTTTTTTGTGTTTTATATTTGATACAGGGAGGGTTATCTTCTCTCTAGGGCTACTTCTAAGCCCATGCTTGGGGCTGTATGTTTGCTTCTCCAACCCACTGGTTCTTTTTGGTAGTGTCTTAGAGGGCTTAGCAGAGGCAGATACATTTTTGTGTCCTCTGGGATCACTTTCATTTCTTCTGGACTTGGCTTTGTTGGAAGAATTGCTGACTTAACTTTTATCAGGGTCTTAATGTAATGAGTTAGTTAAAGATTGACGTGAAGACTAAGAGTAGGTCTCCCTCTCCTGCTGCACAGCTCATTGCCTAACAATTTGAAAAAAGTGTTGGTTTATTTTTTTCCAAA